TTGTGCAGGATAAACGCACCGAGATTGCCGATATGAAGCAGTTCGGAGGCTTTGCTGGATTGTTGCTTAGCAGTAAGGACTTGAGCTTTGATATAAAGGGACGAACCACAATTCATGTAGGGAAACTTCACACCAAGGTTAACTACAATGAGGTTGTGGAGTTGAAAGGTTTGTGAATTCTGCTGGAGGGCGAAATCAATACGCAATCACTTATAAGTATCCATTTAGCTGATGGCTTATTCTTGACATTAGGTTTCAATAAACTTGAGGGGATGGAAATCCAAAGTTACAGCATCATCACCAACGACTCCGATGCCAACCTCGGCGGAAAGGTGTTTATCCCTAACCCCACAGTTGCAACAATCGAGATGGTAAATGCTCCAGTACCCTCACTCCACAAACTTAGACTAATAAATTATATCAGGGGAACGTGCACATTGCTCTATCGCTCAACGGTCAGGCTCTCGGCTCTGGTGTGATTCCCAATCTCACGATTTCACCTGGTGATCGCCAATATGACTTCAGGGCCAACTTTACTGAAGCGGCCATGAGGTCACTTATTGGAGTCATTGTGACCGGGAATGCTGCACTGAACGTGGTGGGCAATGGAACGGAGGTTGACGGCATGGACATTCCTTGGCTTACAGCCCCTCTGGGTGCCTTGAATGTTACTGTGCCAATAGTTACTTCTTCTTAACAGCATGAATTGTGCACGTTGAGTGCTTGGTAACTGTTTGTATTCCTTTATGAAAATGATACTAGAAAAGGCGATAAGATAATTAATGAAGGCAAAAGACCGAAAGGTTTGTGTTAAATAATATGTATTTTTTCTTTATATATATTTGATTTTTGGTTTGTGATTATATTGGAGTACATGTAGTATCTACCATTCACGCGAATGAAATGCTTATGACTTTGTAGGTATTATATCCTATGAATTAATATATACAAACAGTTTTATTATTGAATGGATTTATCTTCGTATACGTCTAAGTCACGTGCGTCACGCACATACGTGAAGCTAGCTGATCCTCTTGAAACAAAGAAAGTACATAAAGTAACTGAGCCTGAGAATCCCAACACGGGATTCGCCACAGATCTGAAGCGAACAAAAAGCCTGGATTCGAGTGAATGAATCCACAAAGCACTGCCCCGCTCATACGAGACCGCTCGGGGCAGGGAAAGGGTGCAAGCAGTCCTACAGTCTTCTGTTCCATGAGCTACATATATATTCTACTCTGCTTGAGATGCAGGCACATGTATCCTACATGACCTAGTAATTTACAGAGAAAACGGGTATTACGGGAGTAGTATCCCATAAACCGTCGAGGCAATGCTGACACCTCTTTCACAAGGCCAAGACGTGGCTAGAGCCAATAGTTTCTGATAGTTTTGCTGATCTCTTACTCGATTTTGCTGTGACCTTTTGTTTCACAAGAGGGGTGTCAGCGTTGACGTTTTATGGGATAAAATCGAGCTGGAGAGCATCGAGAAAAATGCAGCATGTAGTTCCATGTTCTTGCTGTGTGCATCACACCGCATTTGGGTAAAAACTATGGCGGATCCACTCCCATCTTTGATACTGTATATCGATTAACTACTTTCAGTACATGGTACTGAAACTCTAATAGTGGACACTAGAAAAAATGTCCCAGACATGCCAGAATTATAACCTTCTGGACTAACTCCGTGCCGGATCCACTGGGGGTCCTCAAGCTGTAGTGATCCGGGTATGTATAATTGTCAATCTAGTTATTATCCATGAAATGAATGTTAATCTAGTTATGAGTACAGCCATATAATTACATCAAGATAGCATTAATTATGTATAGTCTATTCTATGCTGCAGGATATAAGTTACTTGAAGAAGTGTCAGCAAATATAAAGTATTTAAGCCATCATTTCTGAGAATTTCGAGCTATATCGAAATTAATAAGGGGAAGACTTCATTATCACTGCTTACCATTTAAACCAGAAACAAGTCATTAATCCTCCTCAGGACCTTCGCAAACTTTGCATGTACACCAAAATCCGTAATTTTCCATCAGAGCTTCCCTCCTGTTTTTTGTCCCCATCCTCCAGTCTGGTCTGTAGCAATGCGTAATTTCTTCACCAGCCTTTTTCACGACTCTTGTTAGTTTCCATTCGGATGCTCTCACGTCGTCACAGCCACAACCCCAATAAAAATATTCCAAATCATCAATTATCGAGCCAAAAATTTCTTGCCCACCTCAATATCACGATCAGTCCAAAACCTCATCAGTTTTTCTTCCTCGCTCCACTCCCAGTGAGCATTCTCTCCTCCTAGGCACGAATGGTTTAAGCGGCTTGACATCTGGAAAATCCCGTTTATCATGCCCTGGTCATCAAGGACGAAGGTGTTCGTTTTCCATATGCCAAGAACCGCAATATCCTCTACTGTGAGAGCTGTATCAGGAGCGGGTTGAGAATTGCATAGGCTCAAGTAGGCAATTTTTTGCTCTGATGATAAGTGCGAGAACGCACGGTTTAGCGAGACGATCTTTGCGGTTGCTGGCGCATCTTCGACAGTGATTATTGGTGGTTCCTGAAAGAGTGAGGTGCCGGCGGGAATGAATCGTACGGCGAATACAGATTGGCCCTTGTTGGGGACATCAAGGATCACGAAAGGAGATTCAGTGGTCATATTGGTTGATATGAGAAGCAAGTCAATAAAAGGGAGCCTTGGAATCAAAGCAAATAAACTTGAGAAAACGATAGACAGTAAATATTAGGAACTGTAAAAGAGGAAGAGTGATAAAATTAAGGGGAAAGGAGGAAGGAGAATAAGTACTAGAAGAAGTCTCATGATCGAGCCCCGTGCAACGGAAGAGAATTCGCTACTGGCAGCTTCACGATGCTGGCTGGCGTTGTCGCTTCGGCTTTTTGCGGTTTGGTTCATGGCATGCACTTCCCATATCTGGCCCGTCCCTCTCTATCTACGGAAAAGTCGATAGGCAGATAGGTAACTACACGACAGTGAAAACGTGCGGCAGTCAGGTCGGAATTGAGCTGTATTTATTTACTCCCCAAGCACTGTCTTCTCATCAGCAATAACCCGCCTTCCGGTTGATTATGATGCGTCCTTTCACTGGTGTAACATTTGAGGGATTTCGATCCCACACGTCAAAAGAGGATTGGATGAGTTTAGAGCGGGCCTAAGAAGCTTTTTGTGGTGTTTCAGCCTTATCGGAAACCGGAGGAATGTTCTGCTTATCCTTTAGCCAAGTTTGGCTAGTCTCTTAAAAAAAACCGAAATCGAGTGAGTTTCTGTGGTCCAAATATTTCTATACATACAAATACATGTAAAAAAAAATGTACCTATCGATAAATACTCTGTCGAAGTACCTTTAGTCGCCTGCCTTTACTTGTGATACTCGAGATAAGAGGTATGTAGGGAGTTTTCATTTTCTTCGGACAAGTGTAAGTTCCGGTTCGTAACGAGTGATAGAAAGTGAAGCAACAGGTCTTGGCATCTGGCCGCGAACGCTAGGTGCTAGTGCGGGGGGACTACATGTAGCTTGAATTTCTAAATAGGATAGTCAGGTATCTCTGTCATCACGAAAGGTTTCTATTGGCTGGTTAGTTACCTCCCATCTCTAGAGTATAGTCCGGTGGGCTACAGCTGTCGATACACAAAGAATTGGTGCATTAAGGGAGACAACATGCATGTTTTCATGCATGTTTTCTTAAGTCATCAAACCACGAGCTCTGTCATGATATATAATAGCCCCTCTGACCAACGTTATAACCTTTATACTTTCCATCAATGGTTCTTCTTGAGCTTTTCCGAAACTAACACTTCACGCGAGCAAGGAGGGGCCCAGCCTGCCGCTGCGCGGCAGGCGGCCCCGACTGCGTGCGAGGAATCGATCTCTATTCCGAACCATTGTATAGAGCTGTATGTTCAATTCGAAACACCATTGTATAGAGCTCTATGTTCAATTCGAAACACTAAATAGAGCTGTGAGTTTTCTGGATCTTTACATACTTTTCTTTTGATATCGGCGGTTCCTCGAACTGATGTTTAATTTTATATGCGGCCGGAGGCCGCTCCTCACTAGTATTATATAAAACCGAGTGGAAGTCGAAAGAAATATTGGCCAGGATGCTGATGTCTGCAAATGTAACCACGTTTATGTGTGTAGTTGATGGTACTAACTGGATTAGCTATTTGTCCTGTCCTTCGAACTACATGGTATGGTAGTAATCTCCCTAGCACTACCAAATACTTTCTTGGTAGAATTGCTTCGGAAACCGTTATTTTTGTTAAATGCCATCATTACGCACAGGTTTTGTAGACCAGATCACGTGATTCGGTTTTGACTATCGATCGATATACATCGACGTATCTTCCAAATTATCGGCCTTTGAGATAAACTGTGGAGATAATCCGGAGAGTTTACCGAGAATTATATACCCCGCTTGCTCTAGTAATTGTTTGTTGATTATATCGATAGCCATCAACAGCGACTTTCGCGATTTCACTACAAATCACGTCAACTAAATCATTGCAGCGGTTCGCAGATTTGTACCTTCCCCAAGGGAATCGCATCACCATATAGATACTTGATGACACCATCCAGTAATAATGTGAAGATCTTGCAGAATATGGACAGAGTACCTTCGGAGCTGGACCTACAAGAGTTCGGTCTGCTATCTGTGTACGTTCTTGTTGCTGATAAGGCAGCTGGGGAGCTCCGCTGGATAGTATGGACAGACTAACATAGGCTAAAATGACGGAATTTCAACGATAACATTGTGAATATCTGCGATGGGAGGGTTGTTCCCTTAGGCTTGAATACCGGGAACCAGGAATTGACACTGTTGATTGCAGCGGCAGTAGGATTCGATGTGAATATATATACTCTTGCTGCCGCCCCGAAAACAATGCTGAGACACAATTCCAAGAGAAACAGCTCTATAGAGTATTTGTTTAACCTGTCGCTATAATATTGTCTTGGGTTTTGCAAGCAATAATAATGAGTACCGACAAATCCAGCTCTAAGGCACCGTCATCTCACATGCCAGATGTGATTGAAAAGCAAGCCATCGATGGATCAGCGAGCTCTAGTTTTGACGACACGAGCAATGAGAGCGGGCTGGTAGAGGGCGACTATGGATCACAAGGAGGTCATATCTTTGAAGATGAGCAAGTCGCCAGTTATTGGAGAGGTGTTTATGAGAAGGCAACGTATGAGGGAAGACATCGTTTTGATCCTTCTTTTAAGTGGACTGCCAAGGAGGAAAAGAAACTCCTTCGCAAGGTAATCCTATCTTATGTGTCATCTGTACTCCCTTATGTCATGCTAACCTGAATTCGACGTTCTAGATTGATTGGAGGATCATGTCATGGACTTGGGTAATAATAAACCCAACATTTTGCATTGTTGGTGAATCATTAACATTCGTCATTAGATCATGTTTTGCGCCCTAGACTTGAACCGCAGAAACATCAATCGTGCTATCAGCGATAACATGGTAATTATACTCACCCCTACTGGCTTGAGAATGAAGGTTTCTTAGATCGACAACAGCAAAGCTAACCACAACAAAAGCTCGATGACCTCGGTATGAATACCAATGATTTCAACTATGGACAAACTGTGAGCCTAATTCCTCAGCCTTTGGCTACTCGGATTATCTAACATTTACGGAATAGATATTCCTAGTATGCTTTCTATCTGCGGAACTTCCTAGTGGTCTCAGTAAGTCACATTACACTGCTATTAATAATCGACGCATCTAACTTCAGCCAGTCAGCAAGAAAGTAGGACCAGATAGGTATTTCTCCAACCACGACATAGCGATTAGATCAACGCTAATATCCATACAGATGGATCCCCTTTATCATTGTCTCTTGGTCGTTAGTCAGTGCTTCTCAGGCTGGCCTTTCTTCGAAAACCGGATACTATTTGGTTCGAGCTCTTCTAGGCATTTTCATGGGAGGGTTTATCCCGTAGGTTACCTGGAAGTATATCTTAAAGAAATCACTAACCTTTTATATAGAGATGCTGTTTTATATATGACTTATTTTTATGTAAATATTTGACCCTTCTACACACCATAAAACCACATTTACTAATTAGGATTTTCTCGAGATAGAAATCTAAAGAGCTGTTAGTTGCATAAGTGCCCTTCCAGGGAAGTTTTACTTATAGCTTTAGGCCAATTCGGTTAGCATGGTTTTGGACAGCCATCAGCACATGTAACATCATTGGCTCATTCCTAGCGGCGGGTATTCTTAAGATGCGCGGGATTCGCGGATGGGGTGGTTGGCAATGGCTGTAAGCAAATTCACTCTTTACCTTATGAAGAGATACAATTGACCAAATTTTCAGGTTCTTGATCGAGGGGACCATTACCTTTATCATTGGATTTGCCAGTTGGATATTGATGCCCCCAGGTGTTTCGCCATTTTGTTGCTATTAAATTATATTCATTCAGCTAACACAGACCTCTCTTAATAAATCAGGGCCTACGCAGACAGCAAACTGGGCTAGGGGGAAAAATGGTTGGTTCTCGGAAAAAGAGGAACTTATTCTAGTTAATCGACTTTTGCGCGACGATCCATCCAAAGGTTTGTAACGTCTCAACTGTTATCAATGCTCTGGCGGATGCTAATATTGGCGGCATCAGGTGACATGCATAACAGACAAGCGGTTGGCCCTGTCAAACTGTTGAAATCGCTCAAAGACTACGATTTATGGCCTATGTATATTGTGAATATATCAAAACCTTAACATCGGATTCATGGTATAGCTGACAGACGAATAGCTTGGCATCCTTGTCTATATTCCTGCACAACCTCCCGGAACGTACTTATCCTTAAACTTGCGCAATCTCGGGTTTTCTGTTTTTGAGTCAAACCTCTTGACAATTCCGAGTCAATTTTTATTTATGGTTAACGTAGGCACTACAAGCCCAGTCTTCTCTATAAGGGTGTTTACTAATATCTTCTGTGCACTGATAGCTCTTGATAATTTCAAAAGTAAGCGAATGGGTGAATGAGCGAAGCTTGATATCATCAATCAGCAATATATGGATCTTACCATGGTTGATTGCACTTGTGGCCCTGCCAGATGATGCTAGCCCATGGGTTCGATATGCTCTATTAACAGGGCTACTTTCATACCCATATTGTCATGCCATCTTGGTCGCCTGGTGTGTTTCTTTCTAAGATACCTTAAAGCTACTGAATCACTGTCGCAGTACTAACCTCAGCCTCTCAGGAACTCGAGAAACTCAAACACTGTGCGAACAAGAGCTGTCAGTGCCGCTTTGTATAATATGTTTGTTATCATTCCTAGAACTAAAGCCAACAAATATATGCTGATGAGATTTCAAAATTAGGTTTGTGCAAGCTGGAAACATCGTCGCGACTAATATTTATAGAGATGATGATAAGCCACTATGAAAGTCCCCTCTTGAAGCAATCTAAAGGATCTCACTAATAGACCGAATAGATCGTAGAGGAAATAAGACTCTCCTCGGCATATGTTGCTTCAATATTGTCCTGTTTTGGATCATCAAAGGTTATTACATCAAACGAAATGCAAGACGTACAAGAGTTTGGGAAGCAATGTCAAGAGGTGAACAGGCGGAGTACATAGAAACCACAAAAGATGAGGGTATGAAGAGATTGGATTTTAGATTTGTGCATTAGTTTATACTGGAGAACGGTAGCGGTTCTTGAGGAGTCCAGGTACCACGTATCTTGTAAATAATCTTGGTGGAATTTGTACACAGTATGCACGGTCTATACTAGGCACTAGGGATAAGTCAATATATCTTACAGTGATATCTTGCAGTGATCACGATTATCTTATCAGATTCTTGGTATTTTTGCGACACAAACCGAACCCTGGTTCCTGGGTCTTGGCAATGCTTGTTTGTCAGCCGAGATAGCCGCATTAGCATGAATTGGGTTAGACGATGACGCAACAAGGGATGAGATATCTGCATACGGTATCAGTAGTACGCACATGTAGAACCTTTATGTACCGGGGGTTGTGGGTTAGTCTGAAGAACGCTTTTTTGGCGTATGATTGGTTGAAGCTGCAGAAAATGATACTTGGCGCCAGAAAAAATACTTGAATAGGCTACCCCCCATCTTTTGCAACGCAACCTCCGAGACCGCAATTTGACTGTTGTTTGCACCCAGTTTCATCAAAAAACACTCCCAACAAGGGCTTATGAGCTCACAATATTACCTAGAGGAAGCTGGGAGCCAGCGCTATTCTGCAGTTATTTTTTTGTATTTTTAGCAAAATATTTAGATTTTTGAGTGAAGATATATGAAAGTTCTTCAGACTTTTTTCCCCATACAAATTTGGTGCGCTAAGGCCGGTGTGATTGATGATAATTGGTTGTCATTCGTGGCTCCCATATAAAATCCCTGCATTTTCAACCAATGAAGCAGAGTTCTTCACATTAATGGTGAACACCCGGTACTCATGGGCTGGGGTAACTGGGTTTCCCCACTGGGCTTCCCCGCGCGTACGGGTAAGGGCGAGAATCTGTAACTCTGGGGGTTGATTGGTAACCTTCGGCCAAGCCTCGGCAACCTTCTCTATCCAGCTGCCAAAGTACTTCGAGTCATAAAACCGAAGCTATTCGATATCCGCTCAAGTTATTGAAACCCAAAAACCATACCTGTCGTCAAGATGTATACCGCTACTGAGCTCTACCCCAATGCTGAGGTCGGCAATGCTGTACATGAGTATTGCATCAACCACTCAACAGCTGTCCCAAAGTACATCGATGAACACCGTAATAACACTATTGAATGGGCCACGAAGACAAATAATGATGCGGATATGATGATTAACACCCTACAGGTATGTATAAACTTCTAGTCGGTGGATATAATATATGTACTAGAGCAAGGCCTTTCCTATCGTCTTCTCTTACGGCGTGTTTGATCGAACTCATTGCATGATATTGCAATGTTCGAGCATTGCAATTCTATAGGCTTTAGATTTCTGTCACTAACTTAGGTGTTGTTATAGGCACAGTTCTTGATATTCTTCGCAAGAGCACAAGGCGTTAAACGAGGTAAGTCGCTTTAATATCTTGTTTGCTTTTTTAGACGACCTATCCCTCATATATATCTATGAAGTCTGAGATGTGTTTGACCAGCAATCTATGTTGTTCTTCACAAATCTGCTTATCGTTCCTTTATTCTCCTCCGGCATATCAACATGCAATTATATCTTCTTCGACCTTCATTTAGACGATATTGACGAATTCACAAGTTCTCGAAATCGGTATGTTTACAGGGTATTCAGCGCTTGCTTGGGTTGAGGCCCTGAAAGATGAGCCCGATGCAGAAGTAAGTATATACGCCTAGGATTAATTACTTTTTTGTGACACGCATTAATATTAGGCTGCATTTGCTGATTGGTATTACAAAGATCGTTTGTCTCGACATCCCGGGTCAATCTACCGACTTTGCCAAGGAGACATTTGTCAAGACAAAGGTGGATAGCATTATTAAGGTCATCGAAGGAAATGCTGAAACAAAGTAAGACATTTAGCAAGTGACAATATTTCTCGTTAGGCAAGATCCTTGAATTATGCAGCGACTTGCACAATTATCTGATCTCAGCTAATCTATCATTACCGCCTTCAGCATTGACTCTCTTGCTGGTCAGAAATTTGACCTCGTATTCATCGACGCAAATAAGGACGGCTACGTAACATACTTCGAAAAGGTTCTCAAACTCAACCTCTTGTCGCCAAAGGGCATCATCATTGCGGATAATGCTTTGAAACGTGGTCTAGTTGCGGATAACTCAGAACGCAATCCAGCTAGCAAGGATGAAGGTCAAATGGGAAACTACTTGTAAGACTTTTGCTTCTTGATATTTTGAAAAACAACCGAAATAAGGAAACTGATCAAGAGAATTTAGGCATATTGACAGGTTCAATAAATTTGTCAAGGATGACCCAAGAGTGGAGCATGTGCTTCTACCTGCCTTTGACGGATTGAACATGATCAGATTGAAGTAGGCTGCGGTAATATACCGCCGATGAGTTAAAGCTTTGGTTATTTTCCAGTCTAAACCTGTTGGTTAAGGGAACGTTCCTACATTGAGTTATGTAGTTATATTATAAATTAAACGCGGTACAACAAGGGTATACCATTGATAATTCGCACTCATACATGTATAAAGATCTGCACTACTAGTAATAATACATGTAGAGTACATATAGTTAGTGCTCCAAACTTCAAATCACAAATATGTGAGTACTAGTGTCGCACTTATGTACTTAATTAAAGCAGAAAAGCGCGTTAACCTCGTTATTACGAATCGGATTGAGCGCTGAAGGGCAACTACATGTAACTTGATAACGGCTGCCTAACCCCTCTTCCCCTCATTATAAATTTCGGGGGCCGGAGTAGATGAAACGGTTCTTTCAAAAATTGCTACCACCCCGCAACCAGTTGTTAATATCCTACTACACGACTCTAGCTCTGTTCCATAATCTCTATCTGAACTTCATCATAAGCAATACCGCATCCTCATCGAAGCTAATGCTACATTCATATCATCTACAAGTACTACATTACTTCATAGCCGGGCAAACCATATCAAACTCTCTGTTGGACTGATTAATCGAGCTTCAGAAATGTTTTCAAACTCAAGTCCCTTGTCTCTGGGCCGGGTCATCATTCATCAAATTCAGAGAAGCACTGCCTTTTATATCTCATAGTTGATCAGCTATCTGTCTGTAGTAATTCCCCTGCGGGCCAGACAATAAGAAATATGGCAAGTTACTCCATGGTACGGAGGTTAGTTGTTGACTAGATGCACCGGAATATGTGTCGAGGCAAAACATGGAAGACCCATGTGTTTGTATATGAAAGTGGCATGACACCGCAGTATAGCACTCCGTGGTTCTACTCGTTGTGTGTGCATCGTCCACGACCACGATCTGCAGCAGTTTAAGGGGATAGAGTTGGACAATCAAAGACAGGATATATGCTCTCCATGAGGAAAATGTTCAGGCTGATTAGAGACTACATAGATGGATATTCCGACCCAAACATATGGACTGGATGGTTAGGGAACAAGTGATCTATCTTGATGATACCGGGGTGTTCCCCAGCTGCCTGGTCCATAGAGGAACGTTCCTGATGGTCGGTGTTCCCCTATCGAGCAGAACACTTACCAGTCGGTTTTATCACGCTATATTCTACCTTCACCTAGTAGGCATCAAAAGCGGATATATTGGGTTTTCCCTCAAGAAACTGAAATGGGGAATTCGGTATGCTTGTCAGCGACTGATCTCATTCCAGATGACATAAAGCTAGGCGTACGTTGGCTCTTCTGGGCCACAAGTAGCGCTCCTGGCCATGATGGCCCGACGGTGACCTTCAAGACCTCGCCTTGAATGGTTATGAAAAGTAGTTTACGTGGGGAGATGGCAAAGAAAAACGATGCGCCTGCTCTAAAGAAGGGTTGAGGGGGGGATCGCCAGTAGACCATAGCCTATGGGGTGTTCTTACCTTGGAAACTTACATATCATCATACGCAGAAGCTGTAAGAAGATGGAGCGTTATATACGGGCGATTTCTAGGAATCTTGATGATTTAAACAATGTGGGCATGGACCAGGCCGAGTGATTAGAAGTGATGGACACAGAAAGCGGGTGACTCTTTGTGAGTTCAGGGATATGCTTGCAACACAACACAGCACACAACACAAACCCGACAAGCTTCTTTCCCCCTTGCGGCCCGATCGGGAGCGTCTCCCGCTCACTAGTTCTCGCTTCAACAAGCGCTGCGGTTAACTCTATCTGTTTTTGTGGGATAGCCGAGAGTTGGTGATTGTGGGGGAAATGTTTCTGTGTGTTGTGAGTGGTGAACAGCGGCTGCACACACACACCAAGAAGGAGCGACAGTCTGTCACCCTTTCTCCCCAGCTGACGTCAAACGGGGCTCATCTGTTCTATATACGGGGGAGGCGTTGAGTAATCGATCGAGAGTGTGCATGCTGCAGAGAAGAGCAGATAGAGTACCTACACGCACCGCACTGCAATTCTAAATTTCTATGTAGCCTGAGGAGGGCGAGTGCTGTCCAGGGTTGCATGATGGCACCGGGTACTTCATATAGAAATAGAGTACTCAAAGGGTGACATGTGTATGATCCATCGCTCCCACGCTTTGTCTGAGTAACTCGAACCCAGCGCTTTTACTCAATCTGCAGTGCATATCTTTTTTTTTTTTTTGTAGAGCAAAACGCGCTCTTCCTCCCTAGCTAGCTTTCCTCCGCGAATAGCCTTCCTCCCCTTCCCCACAGCACAAACAGAGACTGACTGAGAGAGACGCCGGGAATCAGACATTTTTTAACATTACATACTGACATAGGTGTGCTTTCTTAGACAGCTAGCAAGCAAGCAGATCCATCCATCCACCCTTCCCTCCTTCTATCCTCCCCCCCCCCCCCCCAAATCTCTCTTCATACAAAACCTCCCCCCCCCCCTCGTCTTCTTCCCTCCCTTCTTTTTTTTTCTTCCTCACCACAAAATCAATCACCGCTTACCGACAAAACACCCGCCTAAAAATCAACCTCCCCCAAACTAACAAAACGTTTCTCATGGAAGTTTCGCCTACACTACATCTTTCCGACGCTATCGTTTCAAACATTTCACCTTTCTTGCTCCTGCTGCTATCCGTCGCACTACGCCCCTGAAAAAGAATAGGGAAGGAGAGTGAGAGGAAAAAAAACAAATTTTCCACAAAAAGGATCTCGGAGGGAGCACCTGCTTTGATCTGGCATCGCAGTGAGATTTCCGATCTCTAGATTTCACATACATCACAGCTGTCTCTACCAACCGCTCAAAGACCTGCCGCATCCACGCCACCCACACAAACTGTCGTTGGCTGCTTCATAAAAAAAAATTTAAATTCCCCCACGAATTTACCCCTTCCTGCTGCCCCTGTCACCCACGTGCAGAGACAAGAGGGTGTGAAAAAAATTAAAAAAAAGCACTCACAGTAGCAGTCACGGATACAACCGGCACTATGACCACACCCCTCTACCCCAACGACCACACCCCGCGCGGGCGACCGGGCCTGATCGCTCCGCCTGCCCTCGCGCCTGCCAACACCGATGTCAAGCCGATCTACGGTTTCGGAGGCGGGCGCCGCCGGGCTTCGATCACCGCGGCCGCGAATGTCGACGGCGCCGGGAGTGTCCATACACTTGCTAGCGTAGCGAAGACTTCCCCGGCCCCCGGAGGTCTCAGTCAGTTGTTTGCGCACTCGGAGGTATCCTCGCGCGCAACTAGTCGTGCCCCGAGTGATGACGAGCGCACCCAGAAGCCTACCGCCGGCGCCGGCGGTAGGAAGAAGAAAAACAAGAAGGGCAAGAACGCCGCGAAGAAGAACCAGATTCGCGATCTGAGCAAGTTTGATGCCGATTTCGAGACGCCAAAGAAAGGCAGCATGAAGAGCGCAGAGGATGCATGGAGCAAGCTGGGGGGACTCGCAGAGCCGGACTGGACATTCATGAAGCGCCCGGTCACGGCCACGTCTTCGACATGCTCGTCTAGGTCCTCGTCACCCCCACGCCCTAGCGGTCTTTCGTCGCTTCTCTCTCAGGCGGACCCGGGCAACCTCGTATCTATCGTCTACAGCAGCGACACCTCCGTCTGCTCCGAGGCTGGTGACATTCCCTCCCCGGGTGAGACCTACGAGGTCGCTCTCGACGAGGACTATGTCGCGCCTTCTGCTGCCGCAGTTCCGCGGAAGATGCATGCCGATGACTTCCAGCAGCTGCGCTGTCTTGGAAAGGGCACCTATGGCACCGTGGTCCTCGTGCGCCACCGCGAAACCGGCAAGCTGTATGCCCAGAAACAGCTCAAGAAGGCATCCCTCATCGTCCACAAGAAGATGGTCGAGCAGACCCAGACCGAGCGCGCTATCCTCGAGTCCGTCAACCATCCGTTTGTGGTCAAGCTCTACTATGCCTTCCAGGACCATGAGAAGCTCTACCTCATCCTTGAGTACGCCCAGGGCGGAGAGCTCTTCCTCCACTTGTCCCAGCAGACTATGCTGCCAGAGCCCACCGCCGTGTTCTACCTCGCGCAGCTAGTCCTGGCACTCTCGCACCTGCACCTCAACGTCGGCGTCGTCTACCGCGACCTAAAGCCGGAGAACTGCCTCCTCGACCACACCGGAAACCTCCTCTTAACTGACTTTGGCCTCAGCAAAGTCAAGACGGACGACAGCGCGTGCCGCAGCTTCCTGGGCACCCCCGAATACATGGCGCCGGAGGTCCTCCAAGGAAACGGTGAGAAGGAGTATGGCTGCGAAGTCGACTGGTGGGGCGTCGGCGCCCTCGCCTGCGACCTCATGACGGGCTTCCCCCCCTTCCGCGGTAACAGCCATAAGAAGGTCGCAGAGCGCATCCAGAAGCAGAAGCTCTCGCTGCCATATTTCCTTAGCGCTGAGGCTAAGGACCTTATCACCCGGCTCCTTAGGAAGGATCCGACAAAGAGGTTGGGGTATAACATGCCGAAGGACCTGGCGACGATTAAGGCACACCGCTTCTTTCGCAAGATTGATTGGGACGCTCTGGAGCGGCGGGAGGTCGAGCCGCCGATTGTCCCGTTTATTACGGAGCCGGAGCTCGCGGAGAATTTTAGCGCGGAGTTTACGGGGTTGAGTTTGTCGCCGCCGGTGGTGGGGGAGGGCGTGGGCGCGGGGTTGATGGGCGTGAGGTGTGAGGGACGGGGGGTTGGGCAGGAGAGGGGGGAGGGCGTGGGGGAGGACCCGTTTGGCGGGTTTAGCTTTGTGGCGAGTAGGAGTGTGTTGGATGCGTATGGGAGGGAGTAGGTGGTGAGGTGTTGGCGGGTTGGTGGGTTGGTGGGGTTGGGTTGGGTCGTGCCTTTCGCTCTTTTTTTCACCTTTTTTTTGTCGATGGAAATGTTTGTATTGGAGTGGAGTAGGAAAAGTCTTTTTTTATTATTATTATAGCGTTTAGTTTTCTTTCTCTCTTTCATTTTTCTTGGGCTCCTTTTTTATTTCTTTATTTCTTTATTTCCGTAATTAGTTTACAGAGTAGAACTCGACTGGAACTGTACCGCCTTGACAGGCGACGTTTCTTTATTTATTTATATTTATTTATACTCCTATAAGATCATTGGTCGTGATCGGTTTCTTGGTTTTTGGTTTTTGGTAGAACTAGATTCGGGATTCTGCTATTTCTGCTCATTCCCAGCCGCGGGCTGGGTTAACTAGAGGTAGCTATATAGTAGAGTAGAGTGGGTTTTATCTCCTTTTGAATTTGGGATGGGACTACGGCTTCTTCTTCTTCTTGAGGTTCTTACTTTTGGTAGTAGAGTAAATATTGGAAAACCGGATGCGGGGGTTAACAAATACCATTTCTTCTATCTCGAGAATAATAAGACGTTCGGTGGTGGGGTCCGGTTACACCAGCTACAGCTGCAGGTTCAAGAACAGGATGAACGATCATTGACCCCGGGCCCGGGCCCGCACACTCCGCCGCGCGCGTCCCGATTCGCACGACTATATAGGGATGTCGGGGGCGACTAACCCGGCCGGATACCGCCTGATATAGTTTCTAGCCTACACTCGCCCGGCGAAGACATCTCGAAACCGACACGGCGAGTTCGATCCTATATCTGGGAGTCCAAGTAGACTACACCTCCGGTCGCGGTATATACTTAGCAATAGGAACTTCTATATAATGAGAGAAATTGCCTTTTCACGAATATTTGTCCCTGGAATTTAATTTTTTTATTTCATGATGCGCAACCCTAACCCTGATGTTAATATTTCGAAACTCCCTTCCCACCGGAATTGGTGAAATTATATTTTTTTATGTTGGTGCTGGAGGCGTAGGCTTCCCCCCCTCTGTTAGTTGGAGATTGTAGATCCTTCCTCTGGGTTGTTGGTTGTGGCGTCTCAGGCCGTGGTTCTTGTAGTCGATGCTGCAAACTATCCGTTCCTCCTCCCTCTTGTGCTGTAGGGACCGAGTACTCCTTTCTGTTTCCAGATAGTATTGAGAGAGGCGTGCGTGGGAAGAGTTGGAGGATGGTACTAAGCTTGATGATAGTCGGAGAGGCCTGCGTGTGTAGTTATTGCAGATTATATAGAGAGATGTTCTGTGTTTAGAACAGTGCTTCGGCCCTGAACTGCTGACACACCAACGCATTTCTTGCTGCCTGCTCTGTCTACTCATAAACATATTCAACTCGGTCATCTAACTTGGTCATCTCTGTTTCCACACGACCTCCGGAAGAATAGAGCGTAGCTAGGCTGATTCGCTCGAGTTTTTCTTTCTGATATCAGCTGTCCCCAGTACACCACTTTGTCTGCGGAGTGAATCTAGTATGTGTTCTCAGCTGTTTACACCTCGATAGTAGTTTAAGGGAGGGGGCGCGGAAACGGACCGGCAGATAACCGTGGTTCGAGTGGAGCTCTAGAAACACCACGTATTCATTCATTCGTTTGTGATCAACCGGGAAACTTGCACGCTTCCGAAGCCACATCTAGCCTCGTTCCCAGACCCACTCGGTGTTTTGGTGGTGGTGGTGGTGGTGGTTGAGCACGGCCGCTCTTTACACCTGGAGAAGGTGGTGGGAAAGCTCGAACACAGTCTTTCGCACATTTACTCCCGCATCACATGACATGCTTCATCTTACACATATCCCTATGGTGCTAAAACAACAAATGTAGCAGCTAACAACATGCGAGTACATGGCCTAACTGGAGTATCCCAACTCTAAGTTGCTGTAGCACCAGACGGTCTGGGTTCGAATCCCAGGTCGGGCGGGTTAGTACACACCACCATCGTGTGCTAATTCGCTGCAGTTTTTGCTACCGAATTGGGGATTGGTTTTTTGATATTTACTTCTCTCGGTGTATGTATCGTTCTCGGTGTATGCATCGTTGGGGCTTCGTACACGGGTGAGTTGTCGATCGATCTTTTTTTTTTTTTGGGGGGGGGGGGGGAGGGAGTTGGATGGAATGTAAGGGCCGAGTGATAGTCTATGCTGCGGTTGGTCTGGGGTATCGGCCAGTCAGCGGTCATCGAGTGTCTGGTAACCAGCGGCGTAATGTGTATAGTAGTAGGCATGGACAATTGTGTGATTTAGATATTTCCTCGCGCCAGGCCAACTACAAATAGTTCTTACGGTTGGGGCAATTTCGAGGAGCGTATTTGGGCCGGTGACGCAAAGAGCTTGGTATAGACCAACGAATATGGATTGATAATACTCCACCAGTCGTTGCTTCTACGTTTTTACTGTTTATAAAGTCGGGATCAGGTAAAGGGAGGTCTGTGACTACATAATAATATTCATACAGAATGAATGGGAAGTAACGTGTTTCCTAAACGGACTGATTGGCTTTTTTCTGAAGGTAGGGATAGCTGGTTTAGAAATCGTATAGAAAAGGAGCTCTTATTATTAGCAAGACCCATTGACACCTTAATCCTGTGCTGTGCGCTAATCCAGCCCAAAGTTGATCTCGAATACTACCAGGGTGACGCAATACATCACCAGTGCTTCAATAACGAATTGTACCTTCCCCCCCCCCCAACTCATACTCCCCTCTTTGTGTGTTGCTTCCCCGATACAGGCTGCAAGTGGAGTAGTATCGGCGTCAATGCACGGGTATATCAGTGATGAAACCGATACCGGTTACACCAATTACACCAATTACACCGATACTACTCTATATGCGCCCTTCGCGGGAAGCAAGAGATTACCAGCACACTGAGGGTTAGGTGTAGAGGAGGCCTCGACGTTTTCTGGGGGTAGTTGGGGTTATGGATGGCTGTGTTGGCCTTTAGAGCTCTTCTTGTCCGATTGCGGATATCTTGACCGCCTGATACGGATGTTCAAAACTTGGCATTGAATAATACAAGTGAGATTGTATCAATATCTTTCCTCTGTAAACGAATTAGCATTGTTCTGAAAACATTATCGGGTTAGGAAGAGTCAGGTTAAGACTCAATCAACATTCAGTCTGAAATGGCTCCTGATATATACGCCATCCCCATCCTCATTGACATTGATACTCCCATCGCCGTAAGGCTACAGATGGAGTGGTGCGGCCTGGCAATCTAGTGTAACTGGGATTATATCCTTAGACCGCTTCCTATGCGCCCTGCAAGCAAAAAGATCGCCTGCAGGTTGAGGTTGCATATCGTGTAAACACTTTTCTGGACGAAGTAATAGGATGGGGGCGGGTGGGGCTAGGGGCTGGAAGTTGTGGGAGCTCGTGTGGTGGAGAGATGATAGGTAAGGTGATTGTGGATCCGGAAGCTACTCCAGGAGGAGGGGGGACTTCTGAGGACAAAAGATGGTAAGAGGTGGACGGGAATAAGCTGGGCTGTCAATATCGAAGGTGTGGATATGAACGAAGTATAGATGGGTATAGGAAAGAAGGACTCGCAAAGCTGAAGGTGAAAGTTCTGGGGACCAAAGACTCCCCGGAGATAGAGACTAGTGAGAGCGGGAGGAAAGTGCATGAGAGATGACATGGGGTATTAAGGATGTGAGAAGATACATGTAGTCAAAACAGAAGGGAAGCTCTTGAGACGCTAAAACATATCTCAAGCGCAGACGGGGAAAGACAAAAGAGAACGGATCTTTGCACTTATTGGGCACGGGGGAAGGGGTATCGAGAGCGCTGAGGGCATGAGAAGAGAGATGGATGTGAGAAGGGATCCGGAAGTCATGACTTCAACGTAGTATCGAGGGCGGAGGTTCTGGAGACGATAGAAAAGGTGAAAAGAATTGATGGGCATGAGTACAGAAACATAAACAGAAGATAAATGGGGTTATGCGCTTGAAGGGCGTGGAGTTGAGTGCATTGAGGATGGGAGAATGGGAGAATGGCAGGATGAGAGATGGAGACGAGATGAGAGATGAAGTTAGGGCGACGACGGAATAAGGGACGAAGGCGGGTTGAGAGCGGTACAAAGGTCCAAGACGGGCCAAGAGCGGGTCAAGAGTAGGTTGAGGGACGAAGGCAGGCCAAAGACAAGCCGAAAGCGGAACGAGGCCAAGACAGAAACCCGAGCACATAGAAGACCCCACGGCCCAATGTAAGAACAGACTGCGAGACTACCGATATGGTTACCTGTAGTCAACACATGTAGCTAGCAACACGGTATTCACAGCTAGAGAGAACACAGCGTTGTGCAGGCAGGGCAGATATGCCAAACTAGCAGGTATATCTTCGCAGTGGGGGGACTCTCCCTCTACCATCAACCAAGTCATCTACGTTACATCAAGCGTAACTTTCACTTAAGCTCCTATAAACCACACCAAGCCACCCAACGCCTCGAAGGAAACCGGGAAACAGCGGGAGCAAAAAGAGATCGAACAAAAGGTGGCTTTAAGTCTAAACCGTATACAGTGAGTGCATGAGGGACAAGAGACCTTACATTGATTGATATATGGCGGGGAGATCAAAATGGTCTTGCAGATTAGATACATAGTCGTGTGGATGCGTGTATCATTTGACCAGCTATGGCTTTGGGGTGAGGCCTGCGTGGGAGCGGGTGCGAAGCGGAGTGGACACCAGAAAATGCCAAGATGGTGCGAGTGATGGGTTATGATGGAAGTCATTGTCGCACCCACAATTGCAATGAACTGTGGGACAACCGCTCGTTCCCATCAACATTCAAGGATTTCGATAGCTAACATCCAGCTATACTCAGATTTCATCACAGGATAGAAAAGCAATAGTGAGTGGGTTCGGTATTTACGATTTCTATCTATGTACAGCTTGCACGCCCATTAATTCTTCTCGCTCTTTACCCCCTGAGGTATCAGCGCCTCGGCCTCCAGAACAGCTCT